GATGTTTCGGAGATGGGACTCCGTCTTCAGGTACCTATTCTGTTGGGCCCAGTAGATAGAGCTAATCCCTATTTCCGGACTCCGGAGATAGAGCCCCATACTTCAAAGACTTTCGAGATGATGCAGTGTTTTAGAGCTGTTCTCCCAGCTGGAGGGTAGTTTAAGAAGATTACGTAAGGGTGGCGTCATTAAGGGAATGGCTACACTTCAATGAAGACAGCGAGATAAGACACACTGGAGATAACTCGATTACTTTTTCAAAACAGTTGGCAATAATATGAAGAGCATCCATCAAGGCAATGCCGTCTATACTCGAAAATGCACTTTATCGACCATAAGAAGGGAAAGTCCGTCTTCAATCACTTCACGTTATACAAAGGATATACAGCCACAAAGCTTTGCTTAATACCCCGCGATAGTAAAACCTCCCATTCACGAGAATCTCTTTCCAGGGTGGCTTTTGGAATATTGTTATCGGGATTAGACATTTCCTACGCGAGTCACACAGGCTTCGCCGAAGTCAGAGCATCGATCATGTTTCGAACAGCTCGTCACAGCACTGGGACGTTTGACATGTATCTGAGAGGTTCTCAGTAAGTTTCCTTGACAGGGAGGAGATTATTCAGAGAATATCTGTGATTACTCTCTTTCGAAGTAAACTGCGAGTCAGAAACCCCCCCCCCCCTCCCAAAAAAACTGACAACTTTCAAACCATTCTTTCAAATCAGCTAACTAGACCAATACACATTTTCATTTATATGCTACCCAGGGATTTAATTTGCCAAGACGTTACTAACATTTTAAAATATTTCAATATTATTGGTATTTTAAGTTTGTAACTAATTGTAATTCTAAGCCATAATACATAGAACATTATCTGTAGTGGAGGACAACGTAACAAGGTGTTATGGTGGGAAGATGCCGTAGACTGTCCATTAATGATGTTTTTCTCTTAACACGCAGTGAAAAATAAACAGAGTGGCATTCTGTAATGATTGTTGGAATGGTATAAATATAGAAGTAAATTTATTTTATAAATAATTTTACATAAGAAGATGGATGTCTTCTGGGTTGTTGCACCGTGTAGTCTGGTAGAAGTTTACCAATATTTCAGAGGTCTTTGTTGTCTCCTTCATCAGGGCAATGAGTGACCAAGATGATGGTAAATTTCTATCAGACTAAACGGCGCAAGAATCCAAAAGACAGCCATCTTCGGACTCACCGAAGTGAAAACCTCGTATCCTACTTAATTTTTCATAATATTTCAATTATAATCCACGAGTTATAAAATTTACGGAGACGTATAGACCTTTTTCGTTATGAAATATCTTTTCTTACGGTGCATCAGTCCTGATATATGTAACAAAATTCGATTTGAACTTTTTACATAAAAGGAATACAGTTTTAGATATGAAACATTCTGGCGTACAAATAGAGACACGGACCAACATAATCTCCATTAGGCGTGAACATTAACATAAACAACGCTTAAAAATATATCACTATTTACTAAAGTCAGATGGATGATGATTATTGTCTTTTCAAGCGTTTGTAAATGAAGAGGAGGTGTTGATGTTTTCTGTGGGTGATTGTCCTTGCTGCTGCCAAGACAGGGAAGAAACTGCTAGGGCTGGGAATTATCCTCCCTAAGCAGACTTCACACACAACCCCTTCCCCCGCCTCCCAAACCAAAATGTTTTGTCAAAGCTGAAATTTCCCACAAGACTTGTACAGTTTTCCCAAACATAATAAATTCATGAAATAATGTAAATTTACTGTACAAGGGCTACCCTGGAAATGGAAGAAAAGAATCTATTGTTAATAGTTGCGGCACTATGTGGACATTACTCAGAACAGAAAGCTGCATATCATGGGTATTAAAACAGACCCTAAGTAATTAATACATTTTTCCTTCTTCTTCTTTTTCCGGTTTAACAATGTTTATACATTTTCCGGTACCCTTCACAGGTCCTCAACTTTTCAGTTGGCTTGATCTATGGACATTCAGTAGGATTCCTTGGACGAGGGATCGGCCCGTCGCAAGGCCTCAATCTATTTACAGGACAGCACAACACAGAAAAACATTCATGGCTCGAGTGGGATTCGAACCCACGGTCCATGTGACCACGCCTCAAACCCCCACTGCGGACCCCACATTTTTCCTCTTATCACCATGTTTTCTCTGAAGATTTCATTCCGTGTTATAACAATTTACTAAAAACCTAGCTGAGTCCATAGAGAAATCAGCATCCTCCGACTAAGAATTATAAGTCAGTCTCAACCGAAGTGTCAGGCGAGCTCTTAACTGATGTAGCACAAACTTCAAGCTACAACTCAGTCTCACCTGAATGTGAGCCACAGCAAAGAAGATCAGTGGGTATGAAGTCAAGAATTTTAAGTCTCTTCTCAAAAGTCAATTAGATGCAAGTTTAAACAAATAACAGTAAATTTAAGTGCTGCAGTAACTCACTGTAAAATCAACATCAAGAAATAAAGATGGCTGTCTTCTGGGTTGTGCCGTGTAGTCCGGTAGAAGTTTACCGACATTTCAGAGGCCTCTGAAACATCGGAAAACTTCTACCGGACTACGTGGTGCAACAACCCAGAAGACGGCCATTTTCCGATTCACCGCCGTGAATTCCTCAAATCGTACAACTTCAAGACGTGGCAGCAACAGGTTTCCTGTCATTTTTCTGAATTTTGTCTCTTATCTGAATGGAAGGCACCAGAGCGCTCCGGTCAGACGACAGAATGAACTGTCCCGCATACAATACCCACCTAAAGATGACTGGATTGAATGCTGCGTCACAAATGGCGCAACATATCTAGTTCAAGCTTTGAAGGCAGGACATCAAACACGTTATATCTGAAAACTGACATCTGAGAAGCGATATTTCATGCTGGGATGATGTTGATTCAAAAAGTAAATGATCTTTCAGTCTACTTTTATTTCGAAATGTATACTAATTATGTATTTTAAACTTTATTTTTGTCAGTTTTCAAGACGTCTCATCGTACAACTTTAGCTTTTGGGGATGAGGCACGTCAAATTCTGAAAGTTTAACAACATTTTTGCAAAAATGCACTGCTGTTGCGATCTTCAGGACGAATGTGTGTTGGTTTTAGGAACAGGGATGTGAAGAATCTGATTGGTGGAACAGAAAAGCAAGCTTTTATGCAATCCAGGATGACCACGTGGTTCAGGAAAGGAGGTGAAAAAAACGTTTTTAGGGGCCACAAGCTGAGAAGTAACCAAATGATTTTAGCAACCACGTGGTTAGGAGACAAGGTTATAGAAAATGGCTCTTTCCAGGGCCGTGTGGCAGGAGAAAAGATGATAAAACAAGTTTGCTTAATCTTCATCTTAATTCACAGCTGCAGTTGTGGGGGTGTTTATTAATTTTAATTGCTACCCTGATTACGTGGGGATGGTATGAGCAGACGTTGGATACGACTTCTCCTCTGTGAAAGACGATGCTGTGTTTAGTTCCTGCACGATGTTTGGCTTCGACAGAACAGAAGTCACATCCAACATCCGCTCATTTCTCTGCTCCACGAATCAGATCCTCCCAACCAACACACTTTCACTTTAAAGGCTCATCCCCAAAAACTGATGTTCGCCAAACACCAGCCATCAAAACCGAAGGACAAGAATAATTTGTCATTATGTTTACATATGAAGGAAACTGTAGGTACCATTTTCCAACTCCATTTATGCCTACCTCACTTTTTCAACGCCTGTAACTGGTCGTCCAAACCAACAGTTCACTAAAATTTATAATTATGCGCATTTGTCCCACTTCTGCCACACACAGGCAGAAAGTACATATTTACCACATTTGAATGTTATGGCATTTATCGTTATCTTTATTTCTTTTCACGATACAAGCTGTTAACCAGAAAAAAACACGGACGAAAGTATTCGTAAATGAAAAATAATTAATACTGGGCCAGTATTTTAGCTTCCAGATGCTTCTCAAATGTAAATGAGCGCTACATCTCCTTTACTCTACAACTAATTGGTTATAATATTTCTCACTGACTGAATTTCATATGTTCATTTGTTTGCAACATTGATGAGTAAGAATTGAGTGAAACTGTCGTCTTTAGCTATTTCACTGATTTGTCTGTTTCTAATTTATTAGAAATTATTTTAATTCATCCAAGAATGTTTATTTTTTATGAAAAACTTCAATTCAGAACAATACTGGAAAGATGTACTCGTCAGAGTCCATGGCCTCCTCAATTCTCCTCTTCCATTCGGTACTCTGTTAGGTCTGTCTGTCCGAGGCTTTGATCGAGGTTTCGAAACATCTTCCTTTTTACAGTGCAAGGTTGTTAGCCTTGCGACCAACCCCCAACCTGGAGGACCAGGGTACATCTTTCCAATCATCAGAGTAGACATTTCAAATGTGTTCTTCGTGCCACATGTCATTGGGTCATTGTTTAGCAACAATATTCATGGGTCACTGTCGCACTGACGTGATCTGAAGCCATTGTTGCTCACGATGAGTCCCAACAATAAGACAATGATTACCACCCTGCACAACAATGACCCTTGTCATGTCAGCTGCCTACCTCTTATGAAAACACAACAGAAAAATATGGAGAGGCCTATAACGTGTTCTTTGTTCACGCTTGAGAGTAAAAAATACCTAAAGCAGTGGTCCCCAACGCGGTGCCCGCGGGCGCCAGCCAAGGCTTTTTTTGGATGCCCGCGTTGATACAGAAAGAGGTTATACTGAATAATGAAGGCCGTTCAACCACGAACATTATAAATCAAATCACAGATCTCGACCTACTGATGCCCATCTTGATGATTGTCTGCGAGCAGCAACATCATCCTACACTCCCAAATTTGAAAAACTGGCCAATGAAATGCAGCGCCAAATATCACACTAACTTCCCACTTGAGTAATAATAATTGTACTTATAAAAGTACATATCTTTGATTGCGTGGTTTCTTTTATCATTAAACATCATATTGTTTTGCGTATTATTTGGTGTCCATATCTTATTTGTCCAGAGATAAGAAAATTTGGCTTTGTTAATTGGTTGGTGCCCACCACGATCTCATAAACTCTCAAATGTGCCCATAGGCACAAAAAGGTTGGGAACCACTGACCTAAAGAGACTATTTCTATTCATCCAGAGGATTTTCTAAGATACAATTAATAAGAACACACATAGTAATTAATCGGTGAACGCAGAAATTATCTTTTCAACCACGTCCACAAATATGAGCTAGAAAGCTCTGTCGAGTAAAACACACAAAATTAACCCACTGGAGTCAAACAACGAGCTCTGCTTGTGGGTAGCCACGTCATCTGTAGAGCTACACCAGAACCAGAAGTAGTGTTCCCTTACGTTGACCCTGCAATTTAAGGCCCAACAGCAGACAACTTAATAGTCTCCAATGGGTTTACAAATAGGAAAGCCAGTGTTAGCTTTTTTAATATTTACGCTCACAATATTTCAGTCTTTCTTCTTTGGTTTCTTGGGGTTCCGGCTACGTGATTTGGCCTTACACAACGGACAGATTGGCGCATTGCGGTGAATCTGCTGATGACAACTAAGGCATGATTTCATGGGTGGTGGTTGCTGCCTGCAAGGACATGGAAAACAAACTTCAGTTTTTAAAACAACTATTTCTCAAGTGCGTGTCGCTATTAGAAAACAAACGAAAAAGGTAAAGATGTCCCAATACACACCATGTAAGCGCTTGGGGGAAGAGGCGGTATAGCTTCTACTCATTCTTAACCTTGGCACAAGACAGGGGTGAGTGGTCAGTGTCATGCCCCGGCAGCACTTTGCCCCCGGGAAGGGACCCCGGTACCCATTGGACAAGGAGGTTGGGTGGGCCCCAGAGCTGGTCTGGACATAGAGACTACAAGAAAAATCCTTTGACCCTTTCGGGGATCAAAGTCCAGTTATCCAGTCTGTAGTCAGTCACTTCCCTGGCTCATACTATTAAAATTAACTCAGTAAATTATGCTTCTATGGCCTCATATAAATTAGTATCAACGTACTGAAAAAATTAATATTAATTTCAAATATTTCATTAAGACAAATATGTACAGGGAAGACTTTCCTCCTCTTTCACAGGAAAGAACTCTCTCTGTTAAAGAAACTACGAGATTCTAGAACATTTTTACCATATTTACCCTACTCAACTCATTTTCATTCAAAAATTACGGGATAACCTAAATAAAAATCAAATACATGACATAAAGGTTGAGCAATGCGTTGTTACAAACTGACATATTCTTTCCTCAAAATAAATCATTGAACAATTAGTTTAGAGCTCACTCATCTGCCATTATTGTCGCAACTATCTATTTATCTAACATTCCAACCAAAAATAAAAGCCCAAGGAAGCATACTTCAAATCACACAAATAAAATAATGGAATTTTCTCCACATGAAATGTAATGTTTGTATTGCCCTGACTTGGGTTCAAAGTTCACCACAGAAAGTAAAATATAAGAAATTTCATGCCTTGTCATAATAAAAAGATAATTGTAACACAACAAATTTAAATGAGATTAAATTGGAACTTTCTTATATTCTAATGCTTGAGGACGTTCTACCACAAAAAGCTCGGATCACATTCTGATGCTTGCGTCTCTTACCTGAAAGTAGGCGCAGGACCTGGTGCAGGTGGCAGAGGACGTTGCTCGGGTTTATTTGAACTCTGCACCAACTGCATCGGAGGCTGAGTAGGGGCAAGAAACGCTGAAGCCGCTCCTTGATGCGCTAAAGCCAGAGTGGAGAGGGTCGGTTCTTCCCTCATTTCTGGACGCCAATCAGATTTGAAATGCTTCTCAAAGTAACTGCAGAAAGAAATCGTAGAATGAATAAATATTTTGAGCACAATTTCAACTTTAAAAATAGCTGTACTCTGGTTTACGAAACAGTGTGATCTGGCAGAAGTTTACCGACATTTCAGAAGCACATGTGTGATGAAATACAAATATTTCTGAAAGAAACAACTATTCAATGATATCTTATGGCTGGGTATGATGACATTTAAAATTTGTATCTACAGTAGGGCACCACATATACGGCAGGTTAGGGACCAGACCCCCACCGAAAAGCGGATCTTTGCCTTTTTTCAATTGCAAATGCATATCAAAGCCTAATAAGATGTTTACACTATCATATAGTAAGTGCACAATAGTGCTAGGCCTAAGAAAAACGATATGAAAGTAAAATGAATATCAGTAGTAGCTGTAAACAGACTGAATCAGCGACGTTAAAATGGTGCCGGACGCACTTCTCTGACTCAGCTGTTGAGCGCGTGGGGCATATGCACGCAATTGAAAAGCGCCGTATTAGCGGATCGCCGAAAAGTGGGGCCCTACTGTATCTGAATGGCCCGAATTTCAGCATTCGAAGATAAACTGTAACCCTTTTCATAGTTGAACGTACAATTATGAAATTAGACTTGTGTTCAAAACACTTCAGACATTCAGTGATTTTGTTACAGCATCCAATGACAACATCTCTGCAGGTTATGGTAGTTGAAGCGGCCCATCCACGTACGAGTTCGATTCGCGAGTCTGGCTCGGCGAGCTTGACTCTTGAGCCAGGCTCGGATATATTTCACCACACATGCATAGCGGACTCGGCTCGTGACACCCCACCCACAGATAAGTTTGGCTCAATGGAACCCGAGCCGAACCAGACTCGTACGTGGATGGACCACTTTAGATTCTTATATTATGTTAACTTTAAGCTTTCACAGTGAGTTAATTAAAGCTGATCCTGCTGACGGGTGTTTGTACCATGTAAATGCGAACTGAGTTACTAACATTTCAGAGAAATATCCTCCATCATCAGGACTTCAAACCTGATGATGGAGGGAGTGTGTTCATCAGAAACATCAGCAAAACTGCCCACATACATATGGTGCAAGCACCCAAAAGTAGGATCAGCATGACAACGGCTAAGGTTAGTTTCAGATTTTCAATGCATGCACAGTAACAGTAGCGCGTAAAAGTATTTAATGCCATTCCCCACGACATATTTAAGCAGCCTGTCTGAATAAAATCAAACTGCACAGACTGATTTTTGATTAAAACTATCACTTATCCTCTAATTTGGAGCATAATATCAGCAAACATTAAACATTTGAGTTTTTATTCCATAATTAATTATATGGGTATTTTACTTGATTGTGCAAGATGGCAGAACGAATTAAATTATTTAACAAATACAATTTGACATACAGATAAAATTGCTAAAAAATGGGATATGTGGAGCAAAAATAATAATTAAAGGGCTCCTTGGTGGTGAAGAGGTTCAAAACAATTATTATACTTCAAGTATATTCACTTCAAAAGGTACAAAATCGAGACAAGAGAAATCTACGTACAAGAAACGGTGTTTCTTACTCTGGTGTAATTAAGTCTCCCTCTTCTTCATGAAGTTCTGGAAGTCTTTCCAGACCTAAATACTCGCGCCTCATACGATCAATGTCTAATTTGAGCGGTCGATACTCTTCGTGTATACGTTTGGCTGTATCAAGCGCTCTGTTACGAGATTCTTCCGCCTGCTTTATTACAATCTCCATCTGTAAAAGAGAACCAAATTTAGGTTCCTACATGTATAAACATAACTTTTCTAATTACTCATAAAAATACTGGACATTATTACAAAATTTCTAGGTGCCACGCCAACCTGTAAAGTAAACTTGTCCCACTACATGTGATGGAAGCATTTGGGGGAGAGGAGATAAACATGCTCATCATTCTTGAACTCATCACTAGATGGAGGTAAGAGAGAAGTTAGACTTTACCCCCAGGGAAAAGAACCCTGGTACAGAATGAATAGGAGGTTGGGGCGCGGAATTCCAGGTTTTTGTCTTTGCTGCTGCGGTGGGGGGGGGGGGGGGGGGGGGGGGATTCTTTTACCCTGCTGGAGATCATACCCTAATCATCCAGTCCATAACCAGATGCTATACTGATGAGCTACCCCAGCTACTGCCAAGGCAAACTGACAACCAGGATTTGTCAAGCCTTGGACAACATGATAGTATTACTCACCGAATTTATATCTGCATGAATTTGTCTTAATTCTTCCACATGGGCCATCTTCTCTTGCATTAACAAATCCATCTCTTGTTTATACTCTGATAAACATTTGTCTTCCTGTTCTGTAGCTTCAACTTCATGTATTATTCTAAGTTTCATTTTCTCCAGCTGAAGTGTTTTAGCCCTGTAAGAAGCATTTTAAGGCAAGCATTCATTGTAACGTCTACTGAGCCGCTATTGTTGCTGCAATTATTACCACTGGCTGAAATATGCATGCTTTTGGTTTCCTGACATTGAGCTATTATCAACATACTGATAATAAAACTACAGAAAAGATATATGCTTTCTCTTCTCAGTGATGATGTGTTATGGTGTCAGAATATTTAATTATTATATTAATTACCAGAGTATACAGTAACACAAAATACGATGATTGCCATGTACTATCACAAATTTAACTTGTTGTATTGTTTATTTAATGTTTCATGAAGTCCACTATTCAACTACAGCCACAAATGTATTATCTGTTCCTATCAAAAATACCAAAATGGCAGCTATACAAACTTGTGAGGTGGAAACAAAAATAACAGAATTCAGTGTAGAATATGGTATTAAAACTGATTCTTTAAAAGATATTTCACAATGGTAAACTTATTAAAAGAATACTATGTTGGACACTGTACACTGTGTGAGGTATATTTAATAAACATGATGCTTCAGCTGGCTCTACCTTCATCTTCAGGTGAATGTCATTACACTGACAGATATTTTATTCTTAGTAATGGTGACTGGGATCAAACCCAGGTCCTTTCAAATATAAAATTGACCCGTGGTTAGCATACAGGCTTAGTATTTTAAAGGTCCCATATTAATTCCCAACCACTGTCTGGTTCTCACAGTGATGAATAAGAAGGGCTGTCATCTGGGTTGCAGTGCTGTGTAGTTTGGTAGAAATACAACCGTGATGCAGAGGTCCTTCCTGCCTCCATCATCCGGGCAATCAGGCCTGATAATGGAAGCAGCAAGGACCTCTGAAACATTGGTAAACTTCTACTAGACAACGCAGTGCTAAACTCCAGAAGGCAGTCACCTTCATGTTATGTGCAGATGAAAGAATCACGGCAAACAAAGGCCTCTCTTAACTACCGCCTAATCTTAAGCTTTCTTATGATAACTATGCACAACACACTCCCTTCTAACACATCAAAACCTACCAAATACAAAACAGTAGCCTGTATAAGACGTACTGGGTAAAAGCTTTAGAACGGGATACAATTTGTACATCGGTATGCAGAATGTTACACGTTACTCCTTTTCCATTAACTGTACTTCTGTATACTGATTAAATTAATCCTCTTTGTAAAGTGCATCTCTTTAGTAAACAAAATATTACTGTAACCTCGTAGTGGTCACTACGTAAAAAACAAACGCTATTACGGGCATCACTAATTTTGTTACCGGATAGAACAATGAACAATTTTCAGTGCTGCAAAGAAACGGATGTCTGCAGCATCCTGATTGTGCCCCTTAGTCTTTCAGTAATTTCTCACCTAATTTCCTTCAGTGCTTCCAGTTTTACGAATATAGTTCTTTCGTCAGTAGTCATATTTGTACAATCAACAAACAAGTATTTATTAAATACTTATTGCAATCAGTGTATACCACAAACAAACTTCCTACACACACATACAGAATATAATCATTTTCTTTCTCCTTCGTCCTAGGCAGGTTATCTATTGTCCTAGACTTCTGGTTTCCATCACTTCCGTATTACACTTTTCAATCAGAGAGAATGCGCAATGCACAATTTTCTTTGCTATAATCGATCAATGATTTCGTTCATTCCTGCCAACTAAACTATTCCTGGATCAGAGTCGTTTACAAGTTGGTAGTACAACACAAGCAATTCCCTTCTTTTATGGAATTTGTGTTCACAAGAACCCGTCGACAGTCCAAATCCTAAGCCATGTGAATCCAATAAACACCCTCCACCCCATTTTAATTTTAATGCCCATCTATGCCTACAATTTTTATGGACAGCCATCCAACACTTACATCTATAAACATAACCTACTGTTATCATTAACGCTCAACAAATTTGCTAATCGTCACCTCAAAGAAAAATAATATAATGCATTATGGCTATATTTTACATTATTCGTATAATACAATACGAATTGTGCTTCTGAGTTCATTTCTACATCTACTTGTATTTATGTATTCTACATTATCCTTCATGTTTTCTAAAACTGTATAGCAAGTCATAGTAGTGAGAGCAGCAATGACATGGAGGAGTTTTCAGAAATCAAGACACCACAATTAATCATGGCTATGAGTGTATTTCCTAAGTGAACAGAAAGTCAACTATGGAAATGAAGTTAATGCCTACTACTCTTGTTCCAATGGGGAATTTCACAACTGTGCTGGCAGTGTTTTCAAGCACTTATAATTCATTTCACTCCATTCTTTCCCACCTTAAATTTTGTAATTTACAGGCATCAAAAATTCCCCTACACACAAGCAACCAAATGCAGCAGACTCCTTCCACAAAAACCACTAGTGCACTCAGTAATAACATAAGACCATCCTTATTGCAAACACTCAGGAAATTACACATATACGGTGCACCTGCAGAAATATTTGCAAAATTCAGTAACACAAGTAATAGTCCATTAAATCTTTACAGTGCTTCACAATAAAAAAGACATACTGCTTTCCACCTAACCAGATACTGAATGCTAGATGGATCCACATATAGTATTTACTGGTTACAAATTTTTCCTAAGTCAGAATTAATTTAACACAGGCCTGAAGATGCAAATACTAAATATGGTCACAGCCATAGTTGAGCAACTACTTTAAAGGGCGAGTTCGGTAAACTCTAACATCAATTCAAACAACCCAGACTGAAAGAACATGCATACTAATAAGCACATTACTCATAAGCTTGTCATAAAGTGATTACAGACAAGTCCCTAAATAATCTACATTAGAAAGTCTGTACAATGAGTACTCATAGGTAATCCTTTTAACCCACTTCACAAAGCCAGACAAACCAGCAAACATAACAAAACAGAAACATAAAAATGAACCAACGTACACATAAGTCAAATATCCATTCACGCGTCCTGCAGTTTCTGAAATTATAAACAAAGCATTTTTATTCATACTAATGCACAATATCCACTTTCAGGAGTTAATAAAGGGGAAAGGGGGGGGGGAAGCTAGAGTACCAACCTTCAGCCAGTGCTGCATGTAGGTAGGGTGTAGGACCAGTCAGATAGTTGTGCAAATGCTGCACCACACAGAGCAAAAATCATATATATCTGGTGTGCTCATATGGCAGATAAACAAACACTGGAACAGCCTGAAGGTAATCCATGACAAACCAACACGAAAATTCATCCCTACACCACATAAAGCCAAGTCATGTGCAAGACGCACAAGCGACTGGCAAGCCGAACCTGCTCTTTACCAGCAACCAAGCAACGATTGCCTGTTCTTGTTGCTCATATCTCAGGCAGGAACAAACAGACTTTGATCACGCTTCGTTCACTACCGCTGCAAGTTTGTCAGTACTGTTTTGAAAACTGCATACAAAATTAATTAGACTAGAAGATGATGTCCAACCAAATAGTGCTTATAAAAATTAGTCCTCAAGTTACCTGGTATATGAGAACCTCCTACATTCTATTAAGTGAGCAAGATATATCCACATATGAAAAACATCTTGCTTCATATCAATCTAGATAAGTGGTATTCAACCTGGGGTACTTGAAGACATCTTAAAGGGTATGTGAAATTTAAAAAAAAAATTATGATAAACACTGAATAATCAGGGCCAGATTTAATACATTATTTTAGATGTATAACTTGAATTATACACCAACATTGGGGGTACAAAGTTGAAGAGAAATTATATCTGGGGGTACGCAAACAAAAAAGGTTGAATACCACTGCACTAGATTATACTTCATAATGTTCTCTTCACAGACATGTCGCATTTCACTCCAAATTATAGTGACTTTCAAACAAAGACAATTTTTCTTCAGTACTTTATATTATAGAATCAAATATCACAATCAAGACACTTACATCACCACTTCGGGTGCACAGTTCAAAAGACAGGAACATAATACTTAAAACAGTAATTCACACAAGGGAAACCAATACCAACCAACAGCTGTTATGAAAGCAACGACTTCTCAGTCTCTCTGTACAAAATATACACTGTCCTAAAGTGAATCCTATTGCACATTTATGGAACAGATTTATCAAAAACAATGTATTTGGCAAGTAATAACATGGTAAATAAATTCTATACACAAATACAAATTATGTATGTGACACTTTACAATGGTTCAAAGTACAAATGGGAAAATTCTAAATGTGGGACTGTAACAGAACACTGACAGATATAAAAAGAACACAAAAATTGAAAAACCAACTCTGAATCTTGATTCAGAGTCCAACATTTTGTATCTTGCAGTAATTAAACCAATGGATAGCTTGCTTGACTAGCAATGCCACAGCTGTTATCACGGTTGCGGGCCATCTTCACATAGCCCAAATCGCCCCAAGTTGTGCCCCAGGAATTTTTAACCAACCAATAGTCCTCACCAGTTTCTATATCCGAGCCATATCCAACCACAAGCACGCCATGGTCAAGAGCTGTGCTGTTGCACTCTGGTTCAAAATAGACACCTAAGTGGAAAAACATATTTCAGAATATTACAGAAGTGAATGTTATATGCAGCAACTTAATGAACCTGATGACTAATTTTAGTCAAAACACAGTTTGATATCAATGAACACTTTAAAAGAGTGTAATAAAGTGACGGGGGTCCGCATTGGCCACGCGGTCTGAGGCGTGGGCCTTGTGCCGCTTGGTCACTGGGACCGTGGGTTCGAATCCCACTCAAGCCATGGATGTTTGTCCGTGTTTCTGTGTTGTGCTGTCCTGTGTACAGGTAGAGGCCACACGACGGGCCGATCCCTCGTCCAAGGAGTCCTACCGAATGTGTACAGATCAAGCTAACGAAAAAGTTGGGACCCACAGTGCTTAGGCTCTTGAATTAACGGGTCGTTCCCAGTATCCCCCCAGTAATAAAGTGATAAAACACAATGATGTTAACAGGTAACAGGTGACTAACGAGCAAAAGTTATGTAGGCCAAAATTCTACAATGAGAAACACACATGGTAGATTTCTTTAACAAAAAAGTGAGGAAACTAGGCAATAGTGCAGCCTGCTTCAGAGCAACTTCATCAAACTTTAATTCATTCAATTTTATGACATTAGTAAAAATGGCTATGAAGAAAACTGTAAGAAATGAGAAGCCAGTAAAAAAAAATTCAATTCAAATTCTTCCTTTCAGGTAATTTTCTGGTCAAAAAAATTACAATAATAAAATCTAATATAACATATAACAAACAATTTTGTATATTTCAGAGTGCACATTTAAAGGTCACCAAGGGAACAATCTTATGCATAAAGTTCAAATTTTGAATATGTTTCTATTTGTTCACTTACAGTTTGAGAAGGAATAAACCAATCTGCACAAAACTCGGCATGCTTATTCCTTTAAACCAGTAAGAGAACATAGGAGGGTCAAAACTGGGAAAATGTCACGAGTTCACTGTAGCTCAGAAACCAAGCACAAATATTTTAAAAATGAGATTACAGAAACTAAGGTCACAAATTGAAGAACAGTCCTATGTTCATCATGGCAAATGTGTTGGGTTTAGGGATATTTTTCTATAATAATCAACATGTATCGAATAATCAGGCCTATGGAAAGCTTTTATGCAATACAGGCTGGCAAAAAGTATATTATTTCTCAAATTTCCCCACACTCTGGGCATTACTTTAGGTGAATCCCTTTGTTGTATTTTGTGAAATTCATATAAATAGTATGAATTGTACTTTATAATATGTATTGTATTGTATTGTGACGTGTCGTCGTGAGTGCCGCAGATTCGCGCAGGAGGGGAGGGGCCACCTGACTTCCAGGCTGCCTGGTCTGGATCTTTCAACATCTTGGGAGGGGGATTATAAACAAAGTCGCATTCCTGGGCACGGCCAAGTGCAAGCTAGTGAGTAGAGAGTAAGCTGGAGGGCACAGCGGCAGCTAGACTGAGCAAAGTACTGAGCATGTGAAAAGTGTGTTGGGTCGTATTCGAGGCAGCAGACTCCAAACAGCAAGGGTTGACAATAAAAGGCATAATTACCAACCTATGTCACAGTATTATTATTATGACTTTTTCCACATCCTATTGTCATCTGACTCGTGGATCCACGGAATGTAAGAAAGATGTATGTACTCTGCTAGTTTAATAAAATATTAAATCATACTCAGTTAAATATGGAGAAATGACACACAATTTGTTATTCCAAGAAGACATGCCAATACCGTGCACTTTCTCGGATGCTGAGGACATTGCTGCCACCTCTAAACTACATCTATTTACTTCTAAACAACGACTGTGGCAGGTCACGTATGCCAGATAATCATTAAAAAAGTCTTGAATAGATTTCTACATAACTTCTTAAAAGCCCAGATGTTTGGATGAAGACATCCTATACTGAAACGGCAACATTAACGGTGCATGTTTATCCACCTCATCTCCATTCGGAAAAAAGAGATGCGACTTTTTCAGGTTCCTATGTATTTCCTTTACATCAACAGAAAAAGAAAACCTTGCAACTGTGAAAGATCCGACCACAAAAAATATTTCGTTAAAAAAGAAATGCAATCTGTATGAGAATTACGTTGACTGTACTACAATGGACATCAAGCCATTTTACTTTAACAACACAAAATTTGTAGCATCCAAAGCATAATAATAAATATTTGTAAGTTTTGAAGGGAATATTGGAAAACATTTTCTACAACAAGGAGTTTGAAAGGAATAAACAATGTACGTGCCTTGCTTGGCACAGCAGTGACATACGCACCTTTTTTGTAGAACTGAAATGACTCGTGACTGGCATCAATAGCAACAGAAATAGGTCCAATAGTAGCCACAGCCTCTTTCAGCTGCTGCTCATTGCCTTCTTCTATGTCTGTGAAGCCAACATCAGTAGCTCCTGAAGCACCAGGATTGTATCTGCACTTATCATTCTGAAAGAAAATTATAATTAAAAGTTTTCCTTTATCACGCTTACCTCACACCTGCTATAAATACAATACAGGCACACTTTGATAATTGTCGCATTGTTTTCTAGACATAAAGCTATTGCACACTTAATACACTAGTGTAAAAATAACTTTTATATGCACTGGGAAACCAAAAAAATGTGACTCACTTTATTGCTGTGGTCTGGAACTGAACCCGCAATATCTCTGAGGTATGCCTGTACTACATTGCTATTACTTCTACCATTATAGACTTTTCTAACAAGACTAACCTCGGCTTCATATGGATAAGACACTTCAGTATCTATTCCCTTGTTGTCCCGCACATACTGGAAGGCCTGGTCCATTAAGCCGCCATTGCAACCTTCATTACCATACTTTCCAGAACAGTCTATTAGGTTCTGCTCACTCAGGGAAACGAGCACGCCAGTCTTTCTGAAGTGTTGACCTTCAAGAGATCCTGTCTGTAAAATAAACATATTTATTCTCCAGAACGCTGGTGTCAGTACGTCACAAAGTATGGGGCATATCATGTTTGTTACCGTCACAATTTCTATCGTTAAACGAATACCTACTTTCCTACATATTGCGTTCAACACTTCTTTTTAAAGAATAAACTTTATGAATTTCATTGATTGTAGAAATGGAAGTACACTCATGTGGAAAAATGGGAGGAGGGACATTTATGTGGCAGATTAATTTCTTTATTAAAAATAATTCAGCCTGAAACTAATCTTTCAATTGTCTACTGTCTACACTGACTTACAAATGTGTTTTCCAGAACATCATATTTTAGTCCTGATCATACATTTGATTCAAACCGAATGATTTTCTGAACTTCGAAATAAAACAGCAATGGATTTGATAAACAACATGAGTCATAAAATGCATCAATTATTCTTCTACAATGAAACATTTCTGAAAATCTGATCACACTTAATGTGAACTTCAAGAAAAGTAGAACAGATACAGAATAAAATTAAAATCCACCAGATAAATTGCAGTGCAGATGACAAATATACTAAATTTAAAAAATATGAAACACAAATGGACATACCTCAATGTGCGCTCCAAAGGACATAAGCGGGGCACTAATTATGGAATCTGATTGAGTGGAGATCTCAGTTAGTTATTACCTGCATTACTGATAAGCTCTAGACCTCTATGATCTAGAATAGTGTTCTGAAAGTATTTTTATAACCTTCACTATTAAAATTTCTTTTTTAAGGTATGCAACGCTTGTTCACCGGAAAAACTATAAAAACTGTGTGTTGCACTCAATATGATCATATTAACCTTTATCTTAATAGCGTTCCCAGCCTGGTAACGTAAGTTGTGTACTCAGCCCTACGAACGTTCCTGGAGGGGACCTCAAAACTTGCAACATTGTAAGGAGACTTCGCTACATCTTTTGGCCTCTTTTAGGGGCTGCAAATATTCTCTAGGGTTCTGACAAGTTCAACCTGAGCTGTCCACCTGGGAATTATAACCATAAACAGCAATAAACATTGTTATTGTCAAGTGGGTTTCGGCTATGTTTTCAGGCCCCTAATCAAAGCTACTCATATTCCTCGGCATGATGGGTGAGAATAATGTGTATCCACTGAAGTAGGGCATACAAATTTTTCTGTGTGACCATTAGTTCACAACCATGTCAAATGAGCTTCAAAAGAACAAAGTAAAGTTACTAAGGCCCATTTAGGCAATTAAGATATTAACTGCATTTTTAAAGAACTCTTATGTATTCTCTGTTCTATTCGAATAAATATGGCTTTTATTTTGTCAATTTATCATGTTTACTTTAGATAATATTAAAGTTTTCCGTAGAGCGTGCACAAAATTTTAAAAACCTGCAAAGAAACTCCGTAGGGCTGCTACCACTTTGCCATTTAAATCCCCGTCATTTAAAGGTTAAACATTTTACTGATAAGGTCTACATTTCCACTACAAATGTCACTTACAGCACTGAAGGACCAGCAGGAGCCACACTGTCCCTGATTTTTGACTGGCGTAACAGCACCCTTCTTACGCCAATCTACAGACTCAGGAAGTTTGACATTTGCAGGACTGATGAAGGTTGCTCCTGCTACACCCATCTGCCGCATATATTCTCCTCTTCGTATTGGGTTGAAACCATTCATAATGTGTGTAAATTCATGGTGAAGCTAAGGGCATAATCAATCCGCTAGGTATTAGTTCAGTATTTGGAAAAGTATTAAACCCTGATGAAAAATAAATCAATCTGCACAGTACTGAATATTCATTCAATTGGCAGAATTCAGACATTTAACTAATATTTCATCTACACACATACCTCACCTTTATAACACAATTCATTCTGAAAGCATAAATTTTGTTTATTTATTTTTATAGGATCTGAGGTTTTCATGGTGGATAGTACAAAGATGGCCATCTGCTGGGCTGTTGTGCTGCACAGTCTGGTAGATGTTTACCATCATTTCAGAGGTTCTTGTTGCCTCCATCATCACCCTGATAATGGAGGCAGCAAGGATTTTTGAAACATTGGTAAACTTCTATCATACCACATGGCACAACCCAAAGACAGTCATCTTTTAACTTAACTATTCCCTGTAGAATTTCTAAAAAATAAGAAATTATTACAAAACTATATCAGTGTTCCACAATTTTTTTTCACTTGTGGCACACCCTTATTCATCAGACAGAAAAGGGGGTACACAACTATAAAATATGTATCTAGATATAAATCCTTGGTACTTGTGGGTTATCGGGACACAAAATGGGGGAGTCAAATATCTGGAGTTGGATTTTCACGGAAAACTGCGCAAGCGTATTATTGAAATAAAATATAATAACTTTCAAGTATATGTCATTTATCCACACACACTGACCTAAGCTAACCTAACCTAACTTAACCTATTTTTAAAGCGATGTGTCCCGATAACCCACAAGTACCAAATTCTTTTCCTACAAGAGTATAGGCACATGAAAACAAAACAAAAAACATACTGGATAAAACTATCGATGAACCAGTGTGTATGCTATGTGTGTGTTACTAATTCCAATTACGAAGCACAAGATAGTGCCTTTTTTGAACTAAGAAAAATTAAAGCTGTCCCACTTTTTAGTACTTTTTTAATTTTTCATATGCTACTACAGCACATATGGAAGAACACACGAAAATAAATTTTTGTCACTTAGTAAATAACAGCCCTCATTTATTTTCACGCAGAAATCAAATCCATGCTGAATTACCTAATGCAAATTATGCACAACCAGTATACAAAGAGATCTGATGATGACATTCACATCTGCAAATTGTTTCAGTTGTAGAAAAGTGTTACAAAAAGTCTATTTACAGAGTGTATGGTCTTCTGGCAGAAGAAGGGATTACTTATATATGTGATTTAAATCAGAGTGTATTATAACAAAAAACTACAGCCCATTATATTTACAAGGACTTCTTTTTTAATTGGTGAAGGAAATTATGAATAAAGATACCAGTAAGATATGAAAGAACACTGGGCAGAAGATTGCGGTCACATAAAAAAAAGGAAGATACTTTACTCATGAGGGAAAAAAGTGAAAGATTTATTAAAACTATGTCTAAGAAGCATTGATGAGGAAACCAAAGACAATCTTGGTGCAAGGTCTGAACCTGGTCAAAGTGCAACAAAGACAGCTAATGATGTTGATATTTCAACCAACAGACCTCAATACATGGCTTCAGTTTTTAAGACATCGTAAAACTATGTTTGTCAGAGCACTTTCTTCCTCTCTGCCCAAAAACTCCATCATCAGTGATGTGGTACTAATGTTTCCTAAACATTTCTTTGTTGTCAACATCAGTGATTTGACTATTTATAGTCTGTTCTCCAATTCATTAAGATTTCATCTATTAAGATGCTAGAGATAATTACAGATTATGATCATCTACAATAAAAAATGCTAAACTCTATGCCATATCAGAAAAATTCCCAGAAGAAACATTGCATCAGAAATATCCAACTGCAGTCCCAAATGTGTTAAACATGACTTTGAACTTCCTTTTATAAAGCGAGCCCGAGAAAGTACACATACTATACATCTAGCAGTGTGTTACAACTACACAGGACATCTGCTTTCACACTTGCAATAGAAATTACTCTACACACACCAGCTATAACTGACACACAAGTCGAGTTTAAAAGTTTAATTTTGGAATTATAATTTTTTAAGTTGCAACATTAAATGAAATTTTACAGTCAACGAGTTTCATTTACTGTGGTAGTTTTGAGAATTTTTTATCACATTTTGAACGCTTTCATGGCAATTTATTTGCATGTGGAACTTCTCAACCAAGATGCAGGTCACAACACTTAATAATTCATTATTTATCTTGTTGTATTCTAAAGTGTAATTAATTCGTGCCTCAAAATCTAATAAATTAAAACTTTTTTTATAATTCTCTAAGGTGAGACAAAAGTAATTTCATCTATAAAATGCAGTTATGGCCAGAAACAGCAATCATATGAAAAGTCATTCATCCAGAGTGAACTGTAACAATGAATTTGTTCAGAATTAAACCTGAAATAAAACAAAATTCACATAAAACCAAGGACCACATGACAAATGATCTGCAGCAATGGTGAGAATGCATTGATGAGATTATGAATTATATTTACCATGTCTCCAAATTCATTCAGTCCAAGCTTGAATTTTCGATTTCCTTGTTCAAAAGCTGCATTATGTTTCGCAATTTTATGTTTGTTTTCCATGTAGATCTTCATGCGAAACTTGTCTTCAACATCAGATTTATATTTCTTCCCATGTTCAAGCTAGAATATAAAAATTATCTGTCAAATAAAACCAGCTGCAAAGTTCTCATAGCAACAAACTGCATGATGTCTCCTTAATCACTCTTTTCAAAAATAAAACTCCACAATGTTACTCTGCAGATGTCACTGGTGAATATTTCATAGAAATAAATAATAATGATGATGCTAAACTGAGTGGCTGATTCATGTTTTGGGCACTGCATCAACTGCATAAGTTACTTAGCACTAAATGAGGTGATATAAACAGATACTTGGAAAAGAAGGGAGAGAAAGCAGTACTCGGCAAAAACTTGAAGGACTAATGTAAACAATTAAAATTAAATCCCCATTTTAAATAACTGGTTCTTGGCCAATACTTGAATACTGTACTTCACATATATAAATCAGACTGCTGCTGCTTGCTATATTGCTCATCATACTCTTTGCTCTATTTCTTAGGATGGTATCATGGCCATTCATACTGTGCTTATAAGTAATAGTGGTATATGAAACACAATAGCTCTCCAAATATGTTAGAATTCTGTGTAGCAAAGAAGCTGAAAATACAAGGTTCTAAAGCAATTCCTACTTCCAAACCATAGAGGCAGGGTAGGGGGGAGGTAAAACTAAATATTTTTAACAATTGCAAAGGAAAAAAATCTTCTTTCTTAAAACAGAATTAACTGAAAAACACTTTGTACAATAACCTCACACAGAACAAATATTTCAACTAGTTCAAATACCTGGTTTGAGCAAGTCAAAATTAAACAACATACACAGCCTTCATTCTAACATTCTAGCAACACAATTAAAGGATCTTACATTACAAAATTACATTTGTAGCAGTTCTACAATACTGTTTACATCATACCCGATCAAATGGCAATTCCGGACTGAATTTTTTGTGAATAAGTTGCTCTTATATGCCCCCCACAACCACAAAATTTCTATTCTCTTTACCAAGCAATCTCTTATCTATTCACATTACACAGTGGATTAACGCAAAAGAACAATTCATTATCAGAAATTATCCATATGTAAGAAAACAAACTTTTGACGTTTTTGTATTAATGTTTTTTCGATCTTCATATTGACAAACGCAAATGATATTCCAGTTTTCTCCTACAGTGGCAATATTAATAACTGGCATTGGAAGAACCGTTTTAGTGTAGACTAGTGCAGTGTTATTGGTTTTCTCGGTAAACTGTTCAATTTTCCGTCTCTTATAACAAAGGTATGAAAAGTAACTACGTTCTGATATAATTTATGACGACTATCCCGTGAATGACTCATCGTCACATGAATAAAGGAACAGACCTCATCACTCTGAAAATCCCTTCCCATGACATCATGATGCATTTTATTAAGCTAGTCTTTGAGGAAGGATTTTTATTATTGTTGCTTCTAAATGTCTGTGGACTTTCCCCTAGAATTAAAAACAACCGCAAAAAAAACATGCTTACCTTAAATGTTTCCCATTCCTCTAACACAAGGTCAATGAAAGAAATTGCCCGACAAGCTGCCACAATGAACAATAGGATTATGAGGAACTTCATTTCCGCAATTAAATCTGCAAAATTACAACAACAAAACTCATTTGGAGGCAAAAATTGTGTTACACTTCTTCGTCATACTATACTTCCTAAGTTCCGAAAAACAATTTTCAAACTTACTAACTTCCTTAACAGACTTACCGCTTATAAAACACAACTCAATACCACTGAAATCAACGAACAATAACTAGTAAACTACTGCGCCTTAAGCTTTTGTCTAGGCAGTCTCTTCCCCTTCCATAGACAGTCGGTCATGTGCTTCCTTGTTGCAATATTTGCTTTTACAACAGCTATTGACCAATCACAATTTAAATAGCCCCACACATCAATTTGTTTGTCTTCAGGAACTGTGTCACATTTATTGGACGTCATCCAGTTGTATATTTTCATCAGGTGGCAGCACTGAACCCTCAAATAAAAAATATTGGATGCTTTTTCCACGTATGGAACAAAATGATTAACAGTATAAATTGCACTTCAATTAATACTTCCCTAAAAATACGCCGTGTCGAAAAATATTTTCAACAAGAGTTCCATGTAGATCTCATGTATTTGCTTTGTAGTATAAAATTAATTAACTTACTTTTTATATTTGATGAGATTTAAACATTTTGAAATAGATTTCAAACCATGCAATATGTGCAGAACTTTTAGTTGCGATTTTAATGAACAAATGAACAGTTTATATGCCTCATATCATTCCGGCACGAATCTAATTTTGAAATCCCTCATAACTTCTCATCACCCCGATGATGGGGTTAGCAAGGTTCCCTGAAATGTTGGTAAACTCCTACCAGACTACACGGCGCAAGAGCCCAGAGGACACCGCCGTGAAAACTTTAAATCCTACTTCTAATAACATGCTTAGTTGTATGAGTATTGCAATGAAAGTTGCGTGTGTGAAATAAAAAAACGTTTCCTGAAAGTACAATTTATTCATATAATTTAACAATAAAAAATCCTAAATAATACAGGTGAGAAAGGGAATGTTTATTTTAAACGGGGAAATTAAATACGGTCACATACGGGATCTACGTACGTTGGTATTAGGTGTATAACCTATGGAAACTATCAACACCATTTACTTTGGATTGATTCCAGGCGATAGGAATTGTCGTGGAAGTTATTTAGCTGTTTTATGAATATTAGAAGTGATAAATACATATTTATTTGGAATTATCTATTCGTGTTCATATCAACGCAATGAGTATAACGATATCATCAATTCGTCTCAGGACGAGTATATTAGATAAGTCGTTGAGCAGGGGCAGGGGTGAGGTTAGCCTTAGTTGTTTTGCTTTGTTGTTTTCTGAGCTTGTGCAGTACTGTCAGAATCGCGTATATACTGTTCAGGAACTACAAAACAAGTAAGTTCCGAAAGGAGTTTTCTAGAATGGAAGCAGGATGGTACGTAGATTTCTGTCTTCTGAGTTGTTGCGCTGTGTAGACTGGTCGAAGTTAACATCGACCAGTCTACACAGCGAAACAACCCAGAAGACAGAAATCTTCATTCTCACCGCTGTGAAAACCTCAAATCTTACAGGATGGTACGTGTTCGGGATTAGGTCTGCTTTTGATCAGTTTGTCTATGAGTACCGAATCCGTATACTAAGCATTTCATGTTTACATTTAATAATGAGTTACATTTGATGTCAAAGTAATGTATGTTGTTTACATGGTATTAATTCTCCAAGGAATAATGATAAACTATTCTCTGCATTCGATATATACATTTAATCTCAGGCTAATACTTGCTGTTTACATGTTGTTAATAACAAATAATGGCCTTTAGTGGTGTTTTTATATTATTTCTGCATGTATTTGCACCCTGAACATATTTCCATTCTTTGACTAGTCAACATATACTAGTAACGATTTAGTAGAAACCAACATGTTAGAGGAATATACTGCCCAGTTGTCAGGGTAAAATACCAGCATCAACATCCTCACTGCTCTGAGAACCTCAAATCTTGTATAGTCATCCACTTCCATTTAAAAATTAATAGTAATCCCTGGATTGTTTCTTGAATTTATGACATGAATGTTTTATTTGAAACCATTCTTATCAGAAGATTGTTCACCCATTCAGGAACCTGAGGACATGCCATATCATGGTGTCAAGGGACACGCTTAACATGGCCAAACTATACTCATGTAATCTGAAAGATTTTACTGAAATTTTGTTCTTACTGGGACCATCACTACACTTGACATTGTTCCAGACTTGCTGATATGGGACGGGAAGTGGGTGTGAAGGTAATTGATCTTCTTTTTGTTCGAGAGCGGAACTGCAAACGGGAGATAAAGTTGTTAAACATGCTCCTTTTCATCAAATCAACGCTGTGGAAGGTAAGTTAAGTCACAGTATATTGTAACATGTGGTAATAGGTTGCGATCTATGAAAGTTATTAATTATTAGTACCGAGACCATCCAAATAACCTTTATTTTAGAGCTATTACTCCCAAACAATCATCATATATATGTATTTTAACCTCAACTTTTCTTTCTTAATACCACATGACAGTAAGATCTGCACTTGTTCACATTCCTCCATTGTAGGTATTCACAGTTGTTTTATTTGTACACCCATGCACTGGATCCAGCAGTGTAGATTATTTTCTTTTAAATGCATGTAACAGGCCATTCCCATTCCTGGCACTCTTAAATAACTATTTAAAGATGATGTAAGACTGAAAAATGTAGTAGTAGTTGTGTATATGGTCTTATTATTAAATAAATTCTACTGATCACAATGGGATACAAAAATTCAAGTTAGGTCATGATATATATTCTTAAGTTGGCAAACACCAAAAGTATTCAGTTCTAAAGCCTTACATTTAGGTAGCACTGAATCACCTATTAGTCATACGGCCAAAGGTTAATGATTCTCCTTGCTGATAGTTTACAGCATGCATTCTAAATGAAGCATAAATTTAAGTGGCACTGAATCACATATTGATCTTATGGTCAAAGGTTTATGATTCTCAAGATGTCCCTTACAGATTGTTTTCAATATATCACAGGAAAAGGTACAGTTCCTATCTTCTTATTAAATGGTTTCATTTACATAGTAAGTTAATTTAATTTCAGGTAACACAACATTGCCTCCCACTGGACAAGATCCTAATCAATTTTAATCTCTCTTCCTGTTTTAAAATTGGACAGTGTAGTGTAAAAGTCAATGTATGAAAATCTCATTAAGAGAGGAAAAAATTTATTTCACTTACACTGTTCAAGCTAAGACTCTGCCATCTTGCTCTCCCCTGCCCTTTCCAACTTCCATGTTTGTCTTTCAGTGATGTATGCGAAGCTCATACTTATTCTGCATCCAACATAAAGTTATGCATTTGTTATGTAATGTTCTCTATTCCATGCTCCTCAAGTCCTAATAATTTCCCTGAGAATCTTATTTCCAAAATACTTTGCAATTTACTGTCATCGTTTAAGTTCAAAATTTCTACACATTTATTTTTGTATATGACTCTTAATATCAACCTGAATGTTGTTTACATGTCTTCATGTCTGAGAACATACAAATGCATCAACCACTGATGTAACTGCCATTATCTTTTAATTTTCAGTCCCTATTTGGAAGGGAAGCTGACAAGTTGGAACATGCCAATGATGAAGAAAGAACATATTACATTATTGAGAAAGACCCTCTAGTGAACAAATTCATTTCCATACCCAAGGATAAAGGAAGTTTGAATTGCTCTGTATTCACAGCCGGTATAATTGAAGGTGTCCTTAATGGATGTGGATTTGTAAGTAACTGAAAAAACTCTTTAAAGACAGACATCAATAACATTTTCTCGAGTGATCAGCCACATCAGATGGCTAAACGATGAAACATCGGTTTCATCGTTTAGCCATCTGACGTGGCTGATCAGCTGAGAAAATTTTATTGAGTTATGTCGCCGCAAAAGCTTTGAAACAGAAAAATATTCTGAATCTTAGAAAAATTGATAAAATTTTTGCTGTCAGATTAAATAACAATGTTTTAAGTAACAACAAAGTAGACATGTTACCAGTACCTTCTTTTAATTTTATGAAATTTGATTTTCATCGAGCTCTTTTTTAAACCAAGAGAATTTTTTTATTGAAATTATTCTTATTTGCAGCCTGCGAAGGTAACTGCTCACTGGCATAAAGGAACTACATATATGGTTAAATTTGAAGATTCTGTGATTACCAGAGATAAACAACTAGAAGATAGATAATCAACAAGTTTGAAGAAACAAATGTCTGTTAGAGATCATGTTATATGCCAATTTACATACCAATAGAAAACAGTTTTGGAGAGGGGGAAAGAATTCGTTGATGGTAAAAGTATGAGGCCTAAAATGAACTCACTTTTTACTGTGGTGCATGATGTATTATTAAATTCAGCCATAAATCCTTCCCATTACTGTGTGGTATTTTTATTGAACACTAACAGCTCGCTGAGATATCTAGTTAAATGGGATAGAAGGTATAAATTCTGCTTTGCAGTATTTCCAAGCTATTGCACTATTTAAATCAGAACCACAGTCTTCCTTTTGATTCATTATCCTTCCACATTTTGATTAATACTACATAATCTCAGCTTTGTAAAATGACTAAACAAAATGATCCAAGTTTGTTTTTAGAATAAGTCTAAGGGTATGACCAGACCTGGATATTTTGTTATGATACACTGTATCGATTCTGTTGCAAGACATTTATTCCTGTGTCTGAGACATTTTGCACTTGTATATTGTTTTAAAATGGTCTAGAGATAGGATTTGAATGTCTCATATTTCCCATTCTGGATGGGAAACAACTCTATTGGAACAGAAATATTTTCAAACTTGAAACTGATGGACAGTAAATGAATAAGTTTTGATGAATTCATTAATTCTCTTCTTTAAGCGTGTTCAAATTGAAAAGCTGCAAAAATGTGTCTGTTCACGTTTCTACGTCTGTCTGTATGTAACATCTTGAGAATTGCTGAACAGATTTTCATGAAGTTTTGATATTGGGTAGTTTTATGAAAATTTGTCAACATATTCCTGTTTTGGTTGGACAATAACAACAGGCACTTCATATGAAAACCTCATGCTTTTTTGGGTAGAGAATATCCACTTGTGGATACCTTGGAATCCTGTCAGCTGCAGTCAAGGGGCAGAATCCTTCATGATGACTTTGTCACCAAGATCCCACACACACACAAACATCACTGGCATTATTCGCAAAGGTCAAATTCTGGGGAACTAGCCAGAATTATTATGCTATGCATTCGTTTCTTTTCATTACTATTAACTGTGAATTAACTTATTTTTATTAGAATAAGCTATGTTAATTGGTTCATTGGAAGCAGGTGGTCTGATAATTATAATTGGACAACTGAATGACTTTAAAGTCTTGACTGTGTACTTCAGGAATTTTCAACTTTTCCAGACCAAGGGCCAAATTCACACTTGCTCAGTATCAACTTGTAGCTCAGGAGGTTATAAATGAGGACAGTTTGTTGAAATTCATGATAATTTATGAAAATGCTATATAATGTAAAAGGTTGACATATCACTCAGTTTTCCTTCCATTCAAATGTTCATTAGGAAGTTCTCGATTTGACATTCTGCATTCAGCTGAACAGTTGCTCACACCATTAGTTATTGCTAAATACTGACGACATGAACAAAATATGAATTGAGAACCCCTAGTATACATTAACTAATGAATATGTCACACTGGCCAGATATCTCAATGTAACTGATACCTTATTTTTGGAATTTTGTAGTTTGATGTTTTATGAGCTACTGACAGAATTGTTAACTAAATTACAAATAAGTATTCTACAGATACTGAACCATGTTTTTAATTCCAGGTTCTCAGGACTGTAAACTTCTAGTCTCTCATATGTCATACCATTATCTTTATATCTAGTCCCTTCTAGAAATGTCCTCGTCCACTGATGTGTTTGCCTCACCTACAGCTTCCTTTTCCTGGACACAGCACAAACTGCACCA